GCTTTCTTATTTCGATTTGGAGCAGTTTGAAGACATAATGACTGGAAAAAGACAAGAGGTTAAGAATCTCCTTCAACCAATTTTGGATGATGATGAAAACAACGTCGGGTGTGAATATGTCCTTGCTATCCTCGCCTGTAATGTGGATGACTGTATCAGCTTGCATCATCGTTCTAAATCAGATGCCACCATAACGGATGAGCAATTGGACTTCCTCCTCTTGAATCTCCATCATCTATCCAAGTATCGTGCTGAAAAGATGTTTCCATTAGAGACTCAATATGAGGTTCTCCAGAATGTATGTGGCAATGTAAGAGATTTCCATGGGTTGATAGTGAATGGTTACATTGAGCACGAGATAGTTGAATATGTCTTACCTCAGTTTCAACTGATGGCTGAGAGAGTAGGACACTTCCTTTGGGAGGATCATATTGATAAAGACTCTAAACTCTCCGAGATAGATGAGGATGATCAGACTGATGCAAACTCTGGCTGAGAGAGTAGGACACTTCCTTTGGGAGGATCATATTGATAAAGACTCTAAACTCTCCGAGATAGATGAGGATGATCAGACTGATGAAAACTCTCAACTCTCCGAGCTAGATAAGAATGATCAGACTGATGAAAACTTTCAACTCTCCGAGCTAGATAAGGATGATCAGACTGATGAAAACTCTCAACTCTCCGAGCTAGATGAGGATGATCAGACTGATGAAGACGGTCGACTCTCCAAGCTAGATAAGAATGATCTGACTGATGAAGACTCTGAACTCTCCGAGTTAGATGAGGATGATCAGAATGATAGAGACTCTCGACTCATCAAGCTAGCACATCTACTCTTGAAGATTGTTCCAACTGAACTGGAGTTTCTGCACATATGTTATACAAATTTGAAAGCTTCAACTTCAGTAGAAATTGGACTCTTCATTAAGCAGCTCCTGGAAACCTCTCCGGACATTCTTCGGGAATATCTTATTCATCTACAAGAGCACATGGTAACTGTTACTACCCCTAGCACTTTAGGGGCTCGAAACATTCATGTCATGAATGAGTTCCTATTAATTATTCTTTCTGATATGCCCAAGGACTTTATTCATCATGACAAATTATTTGATCTATTGGCACTTGTTGGAGCACTTATCAAGGAGGTATCAACTCTTGTTCGCGACTTAGAAGAGAAATTCAGGAATAAAGAGAGTACCGATGAGACAAATCGTGCAACCCTAAAGTTGCCGGAAAATATTGATCTCCTCAAGGAAGATCTCAAACATGTTTATCTGAAAGTCCCGGATTCATCTCAATGTTGCTTCCCCATGAGTGATGGACCTCTCTTCATGCATCTGCTACAGAGACACTTGGATGATTTGCTGGATTCCAATGCTTATTCAATTGCTTTGATAAAGGAACAAATTGGGCTGGTGAAACAAGACCTCGAATCGATAAGATCTTTTTTCGTGAATATTGAGCAAGAATGGCATAAGGATCTCTAGGCACGTGTTTTAGATGTGGCATATGAGGCAAAAGATGACATTGATTCAATTATTGTTAGAGATAATGGTCTCTTACATCTTATTTTCTCACTTCCCATTACCATAAAGAAGATCAAGCTTATCAAAGAAGAGGACTTTGATTTACATGAGAAGATTCCCAAGAACATAGATCTCATCGTTGTGAACTCTCCCAAGAAACCAGTTGAGAGTAAGTCATTGACAACTGAGAAAATAATTGTAGGTTTTGAGGAGGAGACAAAATGGATAGTTAGAAAGCTCACTGGTGGACCGACAGATCTAGATGTCATTTCGATCACTGGTATGCCGGGTTCAGGTAAAACTACTTTGGCATACAAAGTATACAATAATAAATCAGTGTCTAGTCATTTCGACCTTCGTGCATGGTGCACAGTTGACCAAGAATATGACGAGAAGAAGTTGTTGGATAAAATTTTCAATCAAGTTAGTGACTCTGATTCAACATTGAGTGAGAACATTGATGTTGCTGATAAGCTACGGAAACAACTGTTTGGAAAGAGGTATCTTATTGTCTTAGATGATGTGTGGGATACTACTACATGGGGTGAGTTAACAAGACCTTTTCCAGAAGTTAAGAAAGGAAGCAGAATTATATTGACAACTCGAGAAAAGGAAGTGGCTTTGCATGGAAAGCTCTACACTGCTCCTCTTAACCTTCGATTGGTAAGATCAGAAGAAAGTTGGGAGTTATTAGAGAAAAGGGCATTTGGAAACGAGAGTTGCCCTGATGAACTATTGGATGTTGGTAAAGAAATAGCCGAAAATTGTAAAGGGCATCCTTGGGTGGTGGATCTGATTTCTGGAGTCATTGCTGGGAGGGAAAAGAAAAAGACTGTGTGGCTTGAAGTTCAAAATAATTTGAGTTCCTTTATTTTGAATAGTGAAGTGGAAGTGATGAAGGTTATAGAATTAAGTTATGGCCATTTGCCACATCACATCAAGCCATGCTTGCTTTCCTTAGCAAGTAGTCCGAAGGACACTACAATTTCTATCCTTAACTTCAAAGTTTTATCAAGTGCTGAAGGATTTATGGAAAAGACAGAAATGAAGAGTATGGAAGAAGTGGTGAAGATTTATTTGGATGTTTTAATTTCCAGTAGCTTGGTAATTTGTTTCAATGAGATAGGTGATCACCTGACTTTCCGACTTCATGATCTTGTGCATGACTTTTGTTTGATAAAAGCAAGAAAGGAAAAGTTGTTTGATTGGATAAGTTCAAGTGCTCCATCAGATTTGTTGCATCGTGAAATTACCATTGATTATGATGATGAGGAGCAGTTTGGGCTTAATTTTGTCCTGTTCGGTTCAAATAAGAAAAGGCATTCTGGTAAACACCTCTATTCTTTGAGCATAAATGGACACAAGCTGGACGACCATCTTTCTGATACATTTCACCTAAGACACTTGAGGCTTCTTAGAGTGTTGTCCCTGGATCCCTCTTTTATCATGGTGAAAGATTCTTTGCTGAATGAAATATGCATGTTGAATCATTTGAGGTACTTAAGAATTGGGACACAAGTTAAATCACTGCCTTTGTCTTTATCAAACCTGTGGAATCTAGAAATCTTGTTGGTGGATAACGAAGAATCAACCTTGATACTATTACCGAGAATTTGGGATCTTGTAAAGTTGCGAGTGCTGGTCATGACTGCTTGTTCTTTCTTTGATATGGATGCAGATGAATCAATACTGATAGCAGAGGACACAAAGTTAGAGAAGTTGACACTATTAGGGCAACTCCTGCTTTTCTATTCGAAAGATACAGAGGATATTTTGAAAAGGCTTCCCAATCTTCAATTGCTTCAGTTTGAACTCAAGGAATCATGGGATTATTCAACAGAGCAATACTGGTTCCCAAAATTGGATTGCCTAACTGAACTAGAAGACCTCACAGTACGTTTTATAAGTTCAAACATAAATGACAGTAGGCCCTCTGCAGCCATAAATCGGCCATGGGATTTTCACTTCCCTTCGAATTTGAAAACATTGTCGTTGAGTGAGTTTCCTCTGACATCCGATTCACTATCAACAATAGCGAGACTGCCCAACCTTGAAGAGTTTTCCATTTATGATACAATCATCCATGGGGAAGAATGGAACATGGGGGAGGAAGACACCTTTGAGAATCTCAAATTTTTGAACTTGCATCAACCGACTCTTTCCAAGTGGAAGGTTGGAGAGGAATCCTTTCCCTCCCTTGAGAAATTAAAACTGCGGGCATGTCGTAAGCTTGAGAAGATTCCGCCTAGTTTTGGAGATATTTATTCATTGAAAATTATCAAACTTGTAAAGAGCCCTCAACTTGAAGATTCTGCTCTCAAGATTAAGGAATACGCTGAAGATATGAGGGGAGGGGACAAGCTTCAGATCCTTGGCCAGAAGAATATCCCGTTATATAAGTAGCATTATGGTTGAAAAGTATATTGTACTTTGCTGGGTGATATTGTATATGATTAAGAAAATTCTGTTAAGTTGTTATTTTAAACATTACTATTCCTATCACTGCCACTAGGTATCTTATTCTATGCTATGTTGTTTGCCATTGTCATTCTCTCTTTATTTTTTTCTTTGCATTCACACACACATTAATTTTCTTGTAGACTGCGTATTATCCGTCTGTATTATCCATATGCAAGACAAATCTAGAATTTGATGTTTACAAGTTTTTATGGCGACCTCGGATTAATATCAATAAAAATTAGATTCTCAATCACATATTTATAATTATTAAGTCGATAACTTAATACACATATGCATAGGATTGACAAAAGTTGAGGGATTCACTTGAATTCATAGATTACACTGTGGATTTGTCTTTGGCTGTCCAAACCTCCTTTGTGTCTAACTTGGTCTGAAGTCCCATCTTATGTGCTCAAAGCACAATCGTTTAACCTCAATCAAGGTACTGATTTAAAACAACATTGATACTACTGTCACAAACCCAACGACCTTTCATCACAAACATACAACCAACTTAGGCTGAAATCACACTTTGAACGAAAATAAGTGTGTTTATCAAACTGACTCGTAGTAGAACACTGAAATACCTTCTTCTAAATGTTCAACAAATGAGATTGCCAGCACTCAAATGAATGAAAGGTTCATATTAATCTTCAAAGAGAAATACAAAAATACATGACCACAAGTACATTGACAGCACCATTTCAACAGAAGAAGTTCAAGTCACTAGCGAAAGTTAAACTGATACATAATGATACAAAATAGGTATACATAGTTGAACATCTCCCCCCCCCCCCCCCCCAAAACCCCAAAAAATACAATAGTTTGTCCTTACTGATATAGCACAACAACAAGAGTTTAAACTCATTATTTGTAATTAATTGCTGCGAAGTCGCTCAACAAAGGGTCAAATCGCTTCACTGCCACCATAACCAGCACTGCAACTACACAAGGCTCAAGCAAGTAAACGCGGGTGAAAGATTAACATAGAACTCATACCTGAAGGTCTTCCTAAGAAGAAACCAGAGAGCAATTCCCGTTGCTATATGGAGTCAATGCTGCATCTTCATCAATATTCCAAACAAAACCAGGAGTGTCAAACCTCCTTCCTGACACTGTCCTGTATATGTAAAGTTTCTCAACAGGGCAACTTTCTGGTCTCGTATCCGGATGACCCCTCTCATCTATAACTTCAACATTAAGCCCTGGCAACTTCTGGGCTAACAGCTTACATGCTTCAAAACTTACTGAACAATTAGACATCCAAAGGGATCGCATTGTCTCCAGCTTTGCAGCATTAGCCAACAGAGCCTCATCGCCAAAAGGGCAGTCTCTAATCTCCAACTTACGGAGGCTCTCACAACCAGAGAGAATATAGTGGAGGCCTAGATCGCTATCCCCTGCAAAAGCTAAGGAAATCATCTCTAACTTCTTAACATGGACCCCGATGTACTCAAACACACGATCTGTAAGGAGGCCAGAAAGAGAAAGTCGCCGCAATTCCTTGCAGTGTTGCACAATGGCCCCAAAACCAGCATCAAGTGGTTCAAGGGTTAAGTAATCAGGAGTTCGAGGCTCGATAATACACAAACGAAATCGGATCATGTTAGGACGGTTCCTTGCAATAGTAACTAAGGCGTCATTTGTCATTTGGCGGCAGAAGTATAAAACTGACTGAAGCTTAAGGCAGCCCATTGAGACAGCTACAAGGCCTTGCTCTGTCAAGGATACATTAGGTCCTGGAGCAAATGGATCAGAAGGAAACACCCTAAGCTCTTGAAGTTCCTTACAAGTGTTGGCAATCTCCTCAAGACCGTTCATGTATCCCTTCTCAGAAAAAAAAAACAGTTAATGTATCGAGCCATGACTATTGAAAACACGCACCAGCAACAGGTATCAGATAACTCTGTCCACCAATGATATGACATATGGGAAGAATCATCTAGGATTTTTGTCTCCGCTGAAATTTGAACTTGAGACCTTAGCGCTCTCAATCACTTCATCGACTACAAACGGAGAGTATTGGAAGTTTGATTAACTTTCTTATCTCTTTCCTTTGTGGCAGATAAGCATACTTGTGCACCGGCAAAGTTAAAGGCCATAGTTATCCACTGAAGCCATGCTAAATGTCATGTTAATGTATTATGCCTAAAAATAATTAATATAACTTGGAAAAATGTTGAATTTTTTTTATTTATTTTTTTCGTAAGTGATACAAAGTTAAAAATATGAAAACAAGTATTTGGAGTTTCTAAAATATTGGAATATTCTGGCAAAATTTGGGCGGAGAATTGTGACAGTTCATGTCCAAACGTGATTACCCATTGGCAAATATCCAGATTCTTCATACATATAAGTGTCAAACAACAAAATGTGGCAAGGAGAAAAAGTAAATCAAATATATTCTGGAGGATAAATTGGCAGCACCAACAGGTTCTTACACCTTTTTACTGTTCTTGTTGATTTTTTAATAAAGAAATTAAGAAAATAACAGAGAAAGACTTTGAGAGAAAAAAATAATGCAGTATTATCAAAGAGAATTATTTTATTAATAATTTAGAGACATACATTATAGATATAATTCCTAACTAAAAATAGAAAAATATTCTACTAACTTATCAGTAAAATTTAAATAACAAATAAAAGAACTAACTCCTAAATTCAAGTCACATAGGACTCTAATAAAATAATTTAAAAACCCTAAAAATAGCAAACTGATTTAGTCCGGATTAGCAAGAGTATAAATTATGCACAATCCCACAAAAGAGTTTACTTGGTTGAAGATATGATTGAAAAGTGTCTACAATGTGTTTGATGAAAGTCTTAATTGAAATATTTCTTAATATCAACTAGAAATTGAGTAGATTCCAAACTGAATATCAAATATTTCTGAGTAGTTCAAACGTATTTTTTTGTCATTTTCTTCTTAACATGAATGATTTGGTGTCCTATTACTAGTTGTCAACTCTCCTAAAAAGCTAGTTGAAAGAAAGTCATTGACAACTGGTAAAATAATTGTAGGTTTTGTGGAGGATACAAACTGGATACTTAGAAAGCTCACTTGTGGACCGGCAGATCTGGATGTCATTTCAATCACTGGTATGCCAGGTTCAGGTAAAACGACTTTGGCGTACAAAGTCTACAATGATAAATCAATATCTAGTCATTTAGACCTTCGTGCATGGTTCACAGTTGGCCAAGAATATGATGAGAAGAAGTTGTTGGATAAAAATTTTAATCAAGTTAGTGACTCAGATTCAAAATTGAGTGAGATTATTGATGTTGCTGATAAGCTACAGAAACAACTGTATGGAGAGAGGTAGCTTATTGTCTTAGATGACTTGTGGGATACCGTAACATGGGAGGAGTTAACAAGAACTTTTCCCGAAGTTGAGAAAGGAAGTAGAATTATATTGATGACTCGAGAAAAGAAAGTGTCTTTGCATGGAAAGTTCCACACTGATCCTCTTGACCTCTGATTTTTAAGCCCGGAAGAAAGTTGGGAGTTATTAGAGAAAAGGGCATTTGGGAAAGAGAGTTGCCCAGATGAACTGTTGGATGTTGGAAAAGAAATAGCTCGAAAATGTAAAGGGTTTCCTTTGGTGGCTGATCTGATTGCTGGAGTCATTGCGGGTTTGGAAAAGAAAAAGTCTGTGTGGCTTGAAGTTCAAAATAATTTGAATTCCTTTATTTTGAACAGTAAAGTGGAAGTGATGAAGGTTATAAAATTAAGTTATGACCATTTACCAGATCACCTCAAGCCATGCTTTCTTTACTTTGCAAGTTTCCAGAAGGACAGAAAGATTTTAGTCATTTATTTGAAAGATGTATGGTGTGCCGAAGGACTTGTGGGACAGACTTAGATGAAGAGTGTGGAAGAAGTGACGGAGATTTATTTGGATAATTTGATTTCCAGTAGCTTGGTAATTGTTTCAATGAGGAATAGTTGTTTGAATGGATAAGTTCAAGTTCTCCATCATCTTCTTCAGATTTGTTGCCACGTCAAATGACTATTCTTTGATGATAACTGGATACAGGCAGTGCGACCATCTTCTTGATACATGTCACCTAAGACACTTGAGGCTACTTAGAGTGTTGAGTCTGTATTGCTGTTTTCTCAAGGAAAATGATAAACCACCCCTGGTACTACTACCGGGAATTTGGAATCTTGTAAAGTTGCGAGTGTTGGTCATGAGTTGTTGCTCTTTCTTTGATTTGGATACAGATGAACCAGTACTTATAGCAGAGGACACAAAGTTAGAGAACTTGAGATATTTAGGGAAACTCATGCTTTCCTATTCGAAATACACAGAGGATATTTTCAAAAGGTTTCCCAATCTTCAAGTTCTTGAATTACGTATCAAGGGATCATATGACTACTCAACAGAGCAATATTGGTTCCCAAAATTGGACTTCCTAAATGAACTAGAATCCCTCAGAGTAGGAGTAGGTTTTGAAAGTTCAAACACCTCTGTAGCGACAAAATGGTCGTGGGATTTTCACTTCCCTTCGAATTTGAAACAATTGTGACTGTATGACATTCCTCTGACATCCGATGCACTATCAACAATAGCGAGACTTCCCAACCTTAAAGAGCTGACTCTTGTTCACTCAATCATCCAGGGAGGAGAATGGAACATGGGGGAGGAAGACACCTTTGAGAATCTCAAAATTTTGAGGTTGGATGAAGTGACTCTTACTAAGTGGAAAGTTGAAGACGAATCTTTTCCCGTTCTTGAGAAATAATATCTGTTGGAATGTGACAAGCTTGAGGAGATTCCGCCTAGATTCGGGTATATTTGTTCGTTAAAAGTTGTCAAGCTTGTAGAGAGCCCTCAACTTAAAGATTCTGCTATGAAGATTAAGGAATATGTTGAAGATATGATGGGAGGGGACGAACTTCTGGTCGTTGCCGGAATAATATCCCGTTACTTAAGTAGCTCTTAAGCACTATGTGTGAAAAGTCTTGAGCTCTCTTACCCTGTGAGTACAGATGAATTTATTGCCTACTCTACTTCATTTTATGTGGCAGAATTTGGGGGGCAACTAAGTTTGAGAAAGAAATGAATACTTTTGGAACCGCTTTTCTTGAACATGCCATGACATTTTTGTGGCTTTAAAAGCATATCATTAAGAGTAAAATGAGACGTTCAAAATTAAGTTATTTGAAAATATGGAAAAGACGTCGTTCTTTTTTAAACATACTAAAAAAAAAGAGTGCCACATAAAATGGAATAACTTCTCTTTGTTCCAATTTATTTTGACCAGTGTAACATTCTTTGCAGGGTGCATGCAAGAAGATGGTTACAATTCTCTTTGCTTTGCCAGCCTATTTTTCTCTTATTTATGTGCACCATAGACTCATGTCTTTGAATTTAAGCCATTCTACCACTCGAATTCCTAATCTTGGCAAGATGAGCAGACACTCTTACAAATTGCAGCGGCTGTGGGTAAGTTCTAGCTTGAGTGTCACTTTTGTATAGATTTGCATGCTCTCGATAGTTTGGAGACTCGATACGATACATGTTTGAAATTTAGAGAAGAATTTTTTTTGAATCTTATGGTTTTAAACTTGTTGTGCCATTCTTACAAAGGAGTGTCAAAAATGGGAATGTTGAAATTTAAAGGATGCATTCTTTTTTAAACAGGCTAAAAAAGGAGGTTAACACACATCATTATCATCATATATTACTGAAGGCATAATACATAAATGTGGCCTTTAACTTGTAATCCTTGCATCTGAATGTGACTGACTGTAGGTGCTAGATTATATTGAAGATACCGGTCTTGAGGAGATTGCCGACTATTGCAAGGACCTTGAATAACTTAGGGTATTTTCTTCTGATCCATATGCGCAAGAACTGAATGTATCCTTGACTGAGAGAGACCTTTGTCACGCCCCGAGCCTACACCCTGGGCGGGACCGGCACTCGGAGACCATTGCTGGCCCCAAGCGAACCCTTGGCCTGACTTTCTTAACTCAGCGGAAACTTATCTCAAAAGCATAACTCAATGCAATGAAAGGTTATAAAACAACCAACGGATAAAATCTGGCCAAAACGGCAACTCGAGTCTCAAAATAGAATATTTACATATATATACACAAAAGAGAGACTCAAACTAACTGACTGATTGACTGTCTATGAAGCCTCTAAAATACTGAGATGGATGTTGGGACAGACCCCGCAACATCCTAATAAAACAAAACTTAAGAACATAAATAATTGAGTCCTCCGGAATGCAAGGAGGCTTACCACTGACTCTGGAGTGCTCAACTGGATCAACGGCGTACTAGATGCTGATCCTGGGTACCTGCGTCTGCATCATAACCAGATGCAGTGTTGGGTGTTTGAGTTTGATTTACACCCTTAGCTAGTAAGAGTAATCTCATTCGAGGACGAATGTTCCCAAGGGGGAGATATTGTAACATCCGGCAATTTGAAATAGCTTTGAAGAGGCTTAGAATTGGAAATTTTCATTTTTGGAAAGAATTTTTAAAGTTTTGGAAATTTGGCTAAGTATGGAAATCGTGAATTTTTGGCCAACTTTGAACAGTCATAAATTCTTGCCCAGAATGATTTAGGTGGAGTTCCAGTTATGGTTGCAAAGTTCGTGGGACGATCTTTCCAACGCCACCGAGTTTGCTCAATTCCGAGTTCATATGAGCGAGTTATGGCCATTGAAAGTTGGGCAGTTGGCAGGGAATCCGTCCGGGAATCATTAAGGGCATTTTGGTCTTTTCCCTAGCCTTTTATTTTGGTTATATAAATGTGTTAGGCTGATCATTTTGATCAGTTTTACCATTTTTTTTTTTAAAAGAGTGAGGGTTTTGAGAGAAGAAGAAGAGAAGAAGAAGAGAAGAAGAAGAGAAGAAGAAGAGAAGAAGAAGAGAAGAAGAAGAGAAGAAGAAGAGAAGAAGAAGAGAAGAAGAAGAGAAGAAGAAGAGAAGAAGAAGAGAAGAAGAAGAGAAGAAGAAGAGAAGAAGAAGAGAAGAAGAAGAGAAGAAGAAGAGAAGAAGAAGAGAAGAAGAAGAGAAGAAGAAGAGAAGAAGAAGAGAAGAAGAAGAGAAGAAGAAGAGAAGAAGAAGAGAAGAAGGGAAGAA